TTTGGATAACACTTGAATAAATTTCTTGTAGAAATTTATCCAGAAAATTTGCCGAGAAAAAAAAACAGCTTGACGTTCTTGATTCCAATGTTGAAGTTGCATGTTTTGATTTACAGGCTGTAATGACCCTCTCTTGTGGCGAGATAAGTGCATTTTTTATAAGAGGCACTTGTCTAGTTACAATTTCACTATCTACACAATCCGTGAGAAACAAGGGTATTCTTATCAATGGCATGAGGGTCAAGGAAAAAGTGAGGCTAACGAAAGCAGCAGCTGTTTGTACACTACAGCTTTACCAGTTATAGCACCATGTAACTGGTAAAAAAATTATATTTTACAGCGATAAGTTTGTCGTATCTCTTCTTTTACACAATTGAATAACTCTTAAATTCTTGGTTGTGGTTCACACGCAACATGAAGGTGATGCAATGCTTGATTTAATTAAAAAGAAAAAGAAAGTTGCCTTAAAAGTAGGCCTCTGTATATTCTCTGTATAATTAATTTCTATAATACAGCTAACTAAAAAGAAAGAAAACCCTTACAAAGTTCACCAAGAGCACTTCGACCATTTCTATGATGTTAAAGTTCTACAAGCAGAGTTTTACAAGAATTTTACAACAAATACAGACCACACAAAAGTAATTTGGTACAAAGTTTGTATGGTCAAAGTATATACCGTTTTTTTTTTATAAAAACTTATACGCCGATAAAGAATTTATGAAGATTGATATCAGGTATAAGACCAGAGGTTGTCTCATTTTTCCTCAACTAAAAAAAACATACACTACCTGTCTACTGATATCTAATAAAAAAAGAAAGATTATTCGTACTGTGACGTACTTGGGACTTCAGTAGTTTTTTGCGACGCCCCCTCAACCCAACCCCCAACCATACTTACCAATTTTAGTACTAGCCTAGTAACAGGTGATAGTTGTAACAAAAACACTATTTGAACATTAATATTTTTTATTAAAAGTTTATAAAAAGGTTTGGGTTTAGCAGCCAAAGCGAACACACCTGCAGACAACGACATCGACGAAAATAAATTCGCATATCGGACCTTTTCACGGTGTCGGAAGTCAAATAATAAATACAAGTCATTAAAGTAAAATATAGATAATAAGTGTTTATAAAAAAGAACTTTCGATTCGTCTACTTTGAAAAAAAAACGTAATTTAATTAAAATAGTGAATGTAGCATTGATAAGGAAATTAGATTTAGACAAAGTGACGAAAAGTTAAGAAATATTTATCGGTTGGTTTTTAAGATCATTAGTCAGATAATTAAGTAAACAATACAACAGGAAATCGTAAGTAAGCAGAATTTTAGTTTTAATAGTAATAATAGTAGATTTGATACAAACAATATAAACATATAGTCAGGGCCGGCTTCTGAGTTTTAGGAATAAAAGTGTTGGAGTATTGGACGCAGCCAGCGCGGGTGTGGGCGGAAATTTGAATTGAGTAGAGTTTTCGCGCAACTGCACCCGTGATGCAGTGACTAATAACCCTAGCACAGAAAATTACTATAAAAAAAGAACAATGAATTCAGATGAGGAGTTAACTGATGAAGGAAAAAGGAGGAGAGAAGATGATGAATATTACTCCAGGAGATAAACAAAAAAACCACTGAGAACCCCACAAAAAAGAGAAGAAGAAAACATAAGTGGAATCGATCAAATGATGAAAATGATGAAAGAATTAGCAATGGATGTAAAAGACATAAAAAAAGAACAAATTACGAGACGAAATTACGCAACTAAAGAGGGAAATTACAGAACTAAAAGATCAACAAAGCGACTACAAAGATGAAATAAGAAAGTTGCAAGAAACAAACGAAAAAGCTATTAAACAAATAGGCCAATTAGAGAAGAAAATTACTGCAGCAAACGAAAACATAGAGAAACTGGAGAGAGAAAAAAAGAGGAAAAATGTAGTAATACAAGGACTAAACATTGACACAAATGATCAAAAACTATTGCGAGAGGCCGTAGAGAACTTTCTAGAAAAAGAACTACAAGTGTCAGTAGATGTAAATGGAGCGAGAAAAATAGGAGAAAATACTGCCTTAGTGGAACTTAACAGCGTGAAGAACAAAATTGATGTAATGAAAAATAAAAATAAACTAAAAAACAAAACAGACGAGCGAATCTATATAAATAATGATATGTCAAAGGAGGAAAGAATTATCCAGAAAGAAATTAGAAGTAAGGCTATGGCAGAGAGATATAATGGAAAAAATGTAAAAATAGGATTCCAGAAGCTAATTATAGATTAAGAAATATGGACATGGAATAACAGCCAACGACAATTAGTAAAAGATAAAAATGTAAAACCAAAAAACTAACAGCAAAATTTAAACAGGCTAAAATAACGAAGACGACTTGGCAAGATAAAGGTACAAGAGATGAACAAAATGTAAAGATCATTACTGGAAACAAAGTAATAAACGAATGCATATTAGTAGGGACATGGAATGTAAGAGGAACGTACGAGGAAGGAAAACTAAAAAACATAACCGACAAATGCAAAAAATACAAGTTCGAAATAGTAGCACTACAAGAAACAAAGCAATTAGGGCAAAACTCAATGGAAATAAACGGCTATTTATTTTTCAACAGCGGGGGGGAAAATAGAATGTTAGGCACAGGCTTTGTGGTAAATAAAAAGCTGAAAGATCTAATCGTTGACTTAACCAATTTCAGAGAGAATATGTGTATTAAGAATAAGAGGAAAATACCAAAAAATAACATTTATAAATATACATGCACTGACTGAAGACAAAAGTATAGAAATAAAAGAAGACTTTTATAATCAAATAGATACAGTATTCAAAAATATACCCAAATACGATGTAAAAATAGTGCTAGGTGATAGTAATGCAAAAATAGGAGAAGAAGAAATATATGTACCCACCATAGGAAAATACAGCTTGCATGAAACAACGAACGAAAATGGTCACTTCCTAATTGATTTCGCGAAAGAAAGAAATATAATCATTATGAGCACGTACTTCCAACACAAAAGAATACACCAAGGAACGTGGAGATCACCGGATGGGAAGACCATAAACCAAATTGATCATGTGCTTGTCGAAAAAGATATGCAAAAATGTATAAAGAACATAAGAACATACAGAGGTCCAGATGCAGACTCAGATCACTTTATACTTGGAATAAAAATGAAACAACTTATTCCAGTGCTTAGAAACCAGAGGAAGAAAAATTATAAAGCAACCAAACCTGTGAGACTACTGGCAGAAGAGGAACAAAATAAATATGAAAGAATAGTCAGTAGAGGATTAGATAACATTGCAGAAAGTGGGGATATTGAACAAACATGGATGCAAATAAAAGTATGTATGACCAAAGCAGCTCAGGCCAGTAATGGAAATATAAAACACGAATACAAAGAATGGTTCGACGATGAATGTAAAATGGAACTAGATGAACGAAATAAATTAAGAATGAAAATGATGCAAGAAAAAACAACAGGGATTGAGAGAAAATACAATGAACAAAGGAAAAGAGCCAAAAGAATAATAAGATCAAAGAAAAGTAAATACAATGAAGATAAATTAAAATGTATAGAACAGAGCTATAAAAATAGAGACATTAGAAACTTATATCAAGAGGTGAAAAATGAGAAAAAGGGGTACCAAGGAAAACCTGTACACTACAAAAACAAAAGTAGAAGAAATTTAGTAAGTGACGAAGAAATATTGAGCAGATGGAAAGAATACTTTGAAGAACTTTTAAATTAAATTTCAACAACAGAATATGAAGAGGAAGAAGAAGTGAAGGAAAATGTCGATCAAGAACGAATAGAGGAAAGACCGCCTAACGAAAAAGAAATAAAAGAAATAATAGAGAAACTAAAGAATAATAAGAGCCCAGGAATAAGATGAAGTAACAGCTGAAATGTTTAAATATGGAGGACCAGTACTAATTAAGCATTTGGAAAAGTTGCTAAAAGACATATGGGAACAAGAAAAATTACCGAAGGAATTCGGTAATTCGGTATCTCTTTGATATTTTTCACTTTTGATGTGACACATCCGCTCTATCACTGTACGCGATCGAAAATTCGGATCCACAAGTATCACATTTTACGTCACTGTTACTTTTTTTTCAAAAACGAGAATTCTTCTTGCAATTTTATTAAAATTGCAATGGCGCTTTTCCTTTTTATTTTCTTGTTCTGGTACCATATTAACAATAGAATGGAATGAAAAATGTAAAGTCAACTAAACAATGCTTCGGACCTTCGTAGATGATCTCTAATCTATTTGAGGCTTCAAACTGATTAGTGACATAAAATAAATGTTTACATAAAATCATATTGCAGCGCAGCAGATTTGGTCTTGGTTCAAAGCACGTAACGGTTTGGAAATGAATAATTTATTCTTTAAGAATATAGCGCGAATGAAATCAAAAAGTTTTTTTACCTATTGAATGCAGCACACCTCGGTCGGTATGATCGATGTGTATACAATACATGAATTGTTATCGTTTTAAATAATCTTTTCGGAAGAGTATAGTGAAAATACAGACACGAAAAAAAGTGCACATTTTGAGTTTTCCTATAACATAATACCACGATAAAATGCATGCGTTTTGTATGTGGTATTAGTATTACACTCTAGAAATTTTCGACTTTTTTTCGACCCAACAATTCAATTTGATGTGAATTTTTAAAAGAATAACGTATTTAAAATTTCAAAACAGAATTTTACCAAAAATTTAAATATTCGGATGACCCGGAAAGCCTTGTCCGGGACGCCGGGACACTTCGTAATTCGGGCCATGTCCCGGATTTTTCGGGCTAGTTGGTCACACTAACCATACTGAAATTTTAATTTTCGGGACGGCTGCAGAAAAGATATTTTAAAACGTTTTTTATTTAATTTCACAGCATGTCTTAAATTTAATTTTAAATTTCCAAGGTTATGATTGAAATACTATTGAAGTTACTCTTCTTAATACAATATATCCATTACAGCTTTTAATGGTCAACAGTCAGATGTAAAAGAAATCCTGATCGACGTAAAAAATCTACAGAATAAAATAAGTCAGCTACCACAAAAATACGACGTAGGTATACATCAAAATTATACTTTACAAAAACTGGACAAACTGTCAGCTGACGTGTCAATTTGTAAGCAACAATCCACAGATGAAGTTCGACACGTTCTGGAAAGTATTATAAATAACATCAATAAATCTCACGAAGATATCATTGAAAAGCTTAACGATCTCTCTGAAATTACAGCTACTCTCGGAGGAAATTTTGTAACTAACTATGATAAAATTAGAAATGAAATTAAAGGTTTAAATAGGTTAGACCAAGTAATGATAAACACTGCCGATAGTGTTATTGATACCAAACGAAAAGTAGAGTTTGGAGTGCACCAAATTTTGGCGGAGATATCCAAATATTCGAAGGAAACCACTAAACATGTCCAACAAGCAGTGAGTAACAGGTTAGTAAGCATTAAATATATTATTTTTCACAATAAGTATGATAACGGAAATACTCGTTTAATATTTACCTATAGTTTTATAAGTAGGGAAAGGAGAGGTAAAATGGGATACTTAACGTTTGAGGCTCTATAACACCGAAACTATGTATTGGAGGTTACTCATATTTTGGCACAGTGAAAACTCATTATTTTTGATCAAAAGCACAAAAAAACATTTTTTTATAAATGTGTAAGAAAGTTATATGCAAAAATTTGACACCAATACAATTTCCCATTTTACCCCCACTGTATGGCTAAAACGGGATACACAGTGGGGGTAAAATAGGATAGGATTTTTCTATGTTATTTTAATTAATTTTCTATTTTTTCTAAGTTTAATTTTTTTTATTTTAATGCAGAATACAACAACTTAAACTCAAAAATTCAAAAGGAACGAAAAATAGCAATTAACTAAATAAGAAATAACGATTGGTTAAACCCAAAAAATCCAATATTGATAGGAATAATAATACAGAACATTTTTCTTAAATATTAATAGGAATAATAATACCGAACATTTTGCTTAAATGTTAATAGGAATAATAATACCGAACATTTTGCTTAAATATTAATAGGAATAATAATGCCGAACATTTTTCTCAACCTAATCATATCTGCAATCTTCTTCTTCTCATGGCGCCGTCTCCTTTTAAAGGTTGTCGATCCAAATGGCAATTGTGGTTTTGGAAACTGCTGCGCGATATTCGCAAATAAATACATCGTTATTGCTGTCAGCTCCTGCACAAGCCTCATGTCCACATTTTTTACAATTGCAGCATTGTATCCAGCCTTGTCTGAAGAATATCTATTGTTGCCATATAAGTATTCCTCATTTGTACTACTGACACTTACATTTTCAGGTTGTATGTTTTTAACTTTCTTGGAAGTATTTTTTTTACGGTTTTCTGCTTTGGTGACTTAATCTTGGTCTTTGAGTTAACATTTTTAACATTAACTTTTGGTTTTCTGGTAGCTAGAGATGTCTCCAGTTCTTCTTTATTAGAGGTGCTTGTTAATATGACAGTTTTACCTTTATTTTTACTCTGTTGCTTAATTTGTTTTTGCGGTGCTTTTGAATAGGGAACAACTTGTTCCGGAGAAAATAAACCTAAACCAGTGCTTGTTTAAGCACTCATAAGCAAATCTTTAGAAGATTAATTATTTTGTCTTTCTGGAGTAACTTGATCTTCGACAGGCTGGTCATTTTTGGATTGACTTTTTTGGGGCTGGATATGTTTTCTTCAATATTTGGCTTATAATTAGTAGGCAAAGCTGCAGCGAACATCTCTTCGGTAAAAACAGTACGATTCAGTGGGAAAATTCCTGTTTTTTGAAAACTATTAATGGAATTTAATGGAGTTGATGCTCGTAGGTAAGCTTTTCCAAATAGGTGAGGCACCTCTGAGATAGTTACACATCGTCTTGGATGATGTCTTAGCCACACTTCTATTTCTTGCGTATAAAATGTACTTAACGGATACATTAAAGAAACATCCAAGATTAAGAGAGAGATGGGTTTTATTTTGATGATTGAGTGTGATGAAGAAAATGGTCAAACCATTGTTCAAACAAGTTAAGCTGCATCCAACCAGATTTATCAATAACGACTAAGGTCCCTGGCGGTGCACCCTCTGAGAACTGCGGCTTCATACAAACTTTGGGAATTATGATCATCTTCTTCTTCTTCAAGTGCCCTGTCCGTTGCGAACGTTGGCTATTAACATGGCAATTTTGATCTTGTTTGCGGCGCTTCTGAATAGTTCGACCGATGTAAGCCCGAACCACTTCCGCAGATTTTGGAGCCACGAGTGTCTTCTCCTGCCTGGCCCTCGCTTACTGTCTATTTTTCCCTGGACAATCAATTGTAGCAGACGGTACTTATCGTGTCTCAATATGTGGCCTAGATATTCAAGCTTTCTTTGTTTAATTGTATTCACGATTTCTTTCTCCTTTCCGATTCTTTGGAGTACCTCTATGTTGGTGACATGTTCGGTCCAGGATATACGAAGAATGCGTCGGTACACCCACATTTCGAATGCTTCTAGTTTTCTCGTTAGCGTCTCCGTCAGCGTCCAGGCCTCCACGCCATACAGCAAGATCGGAAAAATGTAGCATTTAACTATACGTAGTTTTAGGGGAAGAGACAAATCCTTGCTTATGAGGAGCTTTTTCATATTGCTAAATGCTGCTCTAGCTCGTTCTATTCTCGCCTTAATTTCTATGGTCTGTTCCCATTTTGCATTTACGTTGGTGCCAAGGTACACATAAGATTCTACATGGTCAATTAATATGTTACTTATCCGTAATTGTCGAGCAGGTTGTTGCTTTTTGCTTATCAGCATCCACTTTGTCTTCTTGAAGTTGAGGCTCAGGCCGTATTCCTCACTAACTGAATAAATTCTTTCCATTACTTGTTGTAATTCGTCTATGGTACTGGCAAGGATCACCGTGTCGTCGGCGTATCTTATATTGTTCGTTAACTCGCCGTTTATTTTAATGCCCTCATTTGCATTTTCCATACATTTGTTAAATATTTCCTCGGAATACATATTGAATAGGAGTGGGGATAATATACACCCCTGACGGATGGGGGTGATCTTGCTGTTTGACCCCAGTATAGGTTTGCCACAATTCGAATGTCCTTGTCGTCAATACCTGTCTTTCGCAGAATACCTATCAATTGTTCATGATTGACATTGTCAAATGCTTTTCTAAAATCTACAAAGCACAGATACACGTCTTTATCAACGTCTCTACACCGTTGTATAAGCACCTGGAGAGCGAAAATTGCTTCTCTAGTTCCAAGTGCTTTCCGAAAACCAAACTGCGATCTATCAATATTTGACTCACATTTATCATATATTCTTCTGTGAATGATCTTAGTGAACGCTTTAGTGACATGATTGATCAAGCTTATGAGCCGGTAGTCATCACAAATCTGGGCATTTGGTTTCTTCGGGATTGTAATAAATGTTGACTGTAGCCAGTTCTCCGGGATTTTACCGCTATTATATATGTTGTTAAAAAGTACAACTAGATTGTCAAGGAACTGTTTGTCTGATTATGATCATAGGAGGAACAAATATTCCACTGGCACTCATGCAGATTACAACAGTAGAAAGCTCCCCTCGTTCTGCAAATGTTAGAGTGCCGACCTGTTTTCTACCCTTAACAGCAATGACTTGTGATGGACAACCTACCTTGAACTGTTGTAATCCCGGGTGTCGTCAACGTTAAAAATACGGGAGGGTGGAAAGTTCATTTTTTCTTTGAAGAGGTTCCAAAATTTTAAAAAATGATGAAACTGCTTCCTTGTTAAAACCTCGAGCACGTGCAGCTGATATTGCTTCAGGCAAACGGAGCGAAAGTTTATTCCATTTAAAAAAAGCGCGAAGCCATTCCCACCCACAAAAAAACTTAGTGTTTTTGTTGAAATGATGTTTGATGTTGTTTTTCTCTGCCATCTGATATGCCAAGCTACGGATGGAACGAGTTGTAAGACCGAACATCATAGTTTCCATATTCTTTACATATCTTACAAATTGCTGCTCTAACTCTAGAGGAAATGTAGACAGTCGGCTCCAAAGTAATTTACAATGACCTGTTGCGTATTTATTTCTTCCTTTGAACCTTCTTTCCCATGTTATTTTTCTAACTTTATATTTTTTGGATGCTTTTATAAATCCACAAGTTCCTTTTTTAATGTTTCAGAACGCTGGCTATAGATTTTTCAGATCATTTTTGATGCTCAGTCTTTTTTTCGTAATTTGCTATATTAATTTGGTAATTTGGTAAATAATAATGCTAGGCATCTGAAACAAAAACAATTCTTCTAAGTTTATTCTTATATTATCTTAAACAAGCTTGAATATATTTTTGCTTTGAAAAGTCTTTTATTAAAAAAAAAAATATGATTTTGACGTAACTATAGAATTTTCACATAAGGGGTAAAACGGGATATCCCATTTTACCCCACTCGGTTATTTCTCGTTTTACCCCACAAGCTGTTTAAAAAAAACTTACCTTGTATGCTCAATATGAGTTGGTACACTCAAAAAACTTATTCACATTATGCGCAGGACACTACACATGACCTGAGTTCAAAAATGATTTCAAAAACTTATTTAAAAGAAAAGTTATAGCTTAAAACGTGGAACCCGAAAATGACATTAGGCACCTGTCAAAACACATATTTTGGTCTGAGCACGAGATCGGCTGTGTGAAGTAACAAGGATCTACAGACCGAGAGTTTGGTACAAATTCCACGGCTTCGCGCAATCGTATTTGTAAGTTCGTGAACTAAGTCGACTGGAGTTACAATTTGCCAAATTTAAATGTAATCGTTTCATTCGTTTCTACTCATTCATATTAATATTATAATGTATAATATATTGAAGTTTTTAATATTGGTAATATTATTAAAGCTTTTAATATAATTTTTTTATATTAATAATAATATTAAGTAATTAAATATTGCGCCTTGCTTAAAAAGTACGAGATAAATAACTCGTTTTTTATATCTTTACGTATGCTAAGGGTAATAAATTAAAATTCTTCAATACAAGACTAAAGGTAGGTACCTATAATTTGAATAAGCTGGTTTTGCCCTTACTGACTTTCTAATTACCTACTAATTTGCATAACAGTCAGATATTGTACCTGGTCATAATGCTGTTTAATATTAGGATTTTCATTTCGCTTGTTGAAACTCCATCCGATATTAATTTCTTGAAAATTTTTATAAGGCTGAGAGTACTAAATCGGAATACTCGAGTATTGTTGAAAAAAACTGAAATTGAAGGTACTACACAATCGAAGAGCTCAAAAAAATTAAACATTTCCGGTATTCTTTTTCCAGATCGTATTTTGTTTTCGAGATAAATTTAAATTTGGGAATTTTTTATTATTTTTCCACTTTTTTCATGTTCTTTTTTAATTTAATTTCAGTGTATAAAAGCTTTTACAATATTATCCAAATTTTATTTGGAAGTTTTAATCATAAGTGTTCAGAAACAATTTGCTAGGAAATGATAGAATGAAATGAAATGCTAGAATGAAATTCTGTCTATAATTCTGTTCTATAAAATGTAGCTTCTCCATTTCTTAAATTTTAAAGTGTTTGTTTGTCTTTGTTTAGTGTATTTGTTATGTCCCAATTTACATTTATAACATTCTATTACTGCTGGATAGGCCACAACTGACGAAATGCCCCTGAGGATGATCTTGTGATTGAAAGTACTTGGGCAAGATTTGATTAACTACTGTGTTCGATATTTGCCTTGTGTACCATCAAAGTTTATTTAAAATACCCTTTATTTAATATATACTTTATTTATTCATCACACTTTAAAAAAATACTAGTCAGCACAGCGATTGATTTCCATGAAAATACGCTAAGCAGTGATAATGATTGCATATACCTAAGTTAATATTTTTGTCTTTTGGTTGGTGTTATATTGGAAATTTCCCCTCTCAAGGCATTTGCAAGAAAATTGCACTTTCATATAAAAAAAACGAGTTATTTATCTCCTACTTTTTTTAAGCAAGGCTCAATATTTAATTACTTAATATTATTATTAATATTAAAAAATAATATTAAAAGCTTTAATAATACCTATTACCAATATTAAAAACTTTAATATATTATACATTATAATATTAATATGAATGATTAGAAACGATTACATTTAAATTTGGCAAATTGTAACTCCAGCTGACTATACCAACTTACAAGTACGATTGCGCGAAGCCGTGGAATTTGTACCAAACTCTCGGTCTGTAGATCCTTGTTGTGAAGTACGGCGCGTTCGAACTACAAGCCAATAATGTTTTAAGTATTTTTCACTGCAACTGACGTCATTGGTAGGTCGCTAGAGGCACTTTCTCGTTGTACCGAAGTATCCCATTTTACTTCACCTTCCCCTAGTATAAACTATTTGCACTATCGGTATAGTTAATTTTGTCGATATATTGTTGATAGTCAATATAAATTTGAAAGAATTACCTCGTTTAGTCTGAAAGAAATAAGCATAAGAAATAATAGAATTTTTAACCAAATTTTGCATTTAAATTCAAATACATTGTGTCAATTTATTTGGTATTGACTAATGTACCAAAGTACTTGTATCGGCCAATCCGTTTGATGATTCTACTTAATAGTCTAGTCCTTAGATACTTGATCTCTAAAAACGAGACGAACATGCTGCTTTTTGCTGAGAATATCAATTTTGGTACTCCAATAAAGATGCAAAAAAGTTTACTACTCCTATCCCGGGCTTCCGACTAAAACCTCTTCGCAGGAGAGAAGTAAATGGAAACTATCCACTTAGCAAGAATCTGTACGCCGTAGAAAAAAATATTTCAAACAAGAAATATAGCAAGATAATTTTTAACAAAAATGCTTTTAAAATAACATTTGCATCAACCCAATCGTAAAAATCAATGCTTTTTGATCAGAGTGTTCCATCCACAAAAATCAAACTGCGTTTTAAAGGTTTTTAAAACAATTTTTTCATTTTGTCGCAAATAAAGTCAGTCCTTTTATTATTTCTTTAGAAGAAAGAAAATTGTTCACTTCAGCGCTAAGAGGACTTATTGTAGTTTGTTTTCGAAAAAGACTCCATGTATTTTCAGCTAATTGGTCAGCAGAATCAGTGGACATTTTTGTTTTCAACAACAGTAATCACGTATACAGTTTAAAGCAATCTTAATAATATATTGTTACTATCGGAACGAGTAGATAAATTTTGAACATCTTAAACAATTAAAATATAATTTGATCGTTGTTTACGCGCTCTGTATCGCTTATTGAAATTTAGTTTAGTAGATACACAATAATTAGTAATACAGCTAAATGTGGCGACATCTATTTGTTACTATACTACGTTCCACGTTTAGAAAATAACATTGCGGAGATAGGACCATGTATTTCTTATGGACGATAGCAACGCGGCGTTGCCACGACACACACAAGCACAATTTAGGGTTGTATAATTTGTATTTTCATTTCCAAAAACATGAATTAAATTAATGTTTTTTAACGTAATTGACCAAAAGTGCCCATTCGAAACAAGAGATGAAAAGTAGGGAAAATGATTTTAATTAGATAAATAGTATTTACAAAAGATAATTTTATTTTATCTTATTTTAATTATAGTAACGACAGTTTATTTGTTTTCCGGTGAGAATACGATATGCCATGAATCATAGAAATCAGTAGAAAATATTGACCGCTTGGAATGCGTATATATCTAATTACTAATTGCAACTTAAAATAATACGATATGCGTATGTCAGCTATTTTATGTCGTTCTCTGACTACATAATGATACTAAGGCTTTTATTTAGTAGTTATTCTGACTTTACAGTTAAATGTTAATTGAAAATGAAAATTCAAAAATTAAGCAAAGGGAATATCTTGGACATCCGTGCAAAAGAGAGTGTCTGAGAGTTTTGGCAACACTGATCTCCATAAGCGTAATGTTATTTTCTTAAGTTGAAACAAAGAATAGAATTTCTAAATAGTACTCCCACCAAAATTTAGACTGCAGTAAGCGCTCTCGCCAAAATTGTAATTGTAATTTTTGTAGAATTTTTAAAATCTAATTTTCATTATAAAATTGAGTCCACTAAAACCAACAAAGTGACAGGTAAAATTTTGGCAAATACATTACACTTTAAGACTCTTAAAATATTATTGATTGCTTAATAAACAGGTGTATTCATTTCAGGTGTGCATTTTAGGTATTTCAAAAATTATCGTAATAAAGTATGGTTTAATTTTATTTGATATTTGTTTCATAAATTCAATGTCTTAGTTTGTGCCATTTATACATATGTGACTGAAGTAATTCAGAATGACCTTTTTAGCTACCCTGTTTATGTGAAAGAAATATTCTGTTTTCCTTCTCATAATAATGTTTAATACGAACAAATCTGTCTGTATTCATTATTCGAAGGCCAGCTTCGTTCGAGAAGATGATCTTCTAGAAGAGAACAATTCGAATACTTTAGATTTATTGAACATTAGAGTTTTCCATATCATAAAGGCCTTCCGTGATATTTTAATTCTGTTTATTATCTCTTCATCAGAGTCACCATTCATATTCAATTCAACTACCAAGATATTTAAAGTGGTTTACACGTTCTATCCTCTATGCATTTATTGCAAGCTAATGTAGATCACTACATTGAACTATGATTTCGCGCGCGTAACTGACATTAAAAATTGCCGATCGCTTCATGCGTTGTTTCTGAGAGAACGGTTCATTCTACACAAAAAATATTAATAACTATTTTTGTTCAAAATTATCCTAGCTACATTTTTTATTTAAAATATTTTTGTCTATGGCGTACAAATTCTTGGTATATCGAGTTTTTCCGTTTCCTTCCCTTTACAAGGGGTTTTTGGAGAAAGCCCGAAGGTAAAAGTGGTAAACTTTTTGCATCTTTTTTCGCGTCCCAAAAATGACATTATTGGCAAAATTCAACTTATTTGTATAATTTTTAGAGGTTCAGTGGCATTTTCGTCTCTGGCGACTGGAGCATAGACATAATAAACTCATGAATAAACTCATAAATTACTGTATTTGAAAAAAAAATTATTTGAAATTTTTTGTTAACAAACCTTTATTTTATATAACGAATTCATAACAGAGTTAAAGTGTAAAAGTAAAAACAGATAAGTATACATCAGTATATTCTTCGCTAATCCTGATGCGGATTATCCTTGTTTTCGCCAAACTTTAAGGGCCAATTGTTCGAACGCTAATGAAAAGTTGATTGTAATCAAATATTTAATCAACATTAAATACGTCACATTTTGGGGTTACGTTGACTGATTTGTTTTACTCAATTTTATTATTTTGCGTTATAATTTAAAATAAACCATAATTAAACTCTTTCTGATTTTAATTTCATGTTTTTATTTACAAATCCATAATAGTAATAAGCAATTTTTAATAATTTTGACAGCTGCTGGGACGTATTTAATTGTAATTATATATTTGATTACAATCAAGTTTTGTTTAGCGTTCGACCAATCGGACCCAAAAGTCTTTCGTCACAGCATTAAAATATTATAAAATAATAATATCCTACATAATTAAAACTTATGTCAGATTTTTTATTTTTCGCACTCAGTATGTGTCAAAACTTTTGCAATTGGCAGCATTGCCTATTTTTCTGTTTTTCTGTAACAAAACTGCATTTTTTGCGTAAAGACGGTTTATTAGTAGTTAACACTAGTTACTCGATTAATGCATATATGTAGATATAAGATCCTAATATATATATATATATATATATATATATATATATATATATATATATATATATATATATATATATAGATCCTAAATGAATCATTTTTATAACTGTTACGTGTATTGCTATATATTTTTAGACTAGATACTTTCGAAACATCAATTTTGGATCCAGACACTGGAGCTCTGGCTAATTCAACATCAAAGATAGAAGATGACATCCAACAAGTTTGGCGGCAAATAGGAATAATGTATCAACAAATGAGTACCAACTCAGATGCTCTTAAACAATTGCAGAATCAGACTGATGCGTATATTACTGGTTCCCTTGGGACAATGAACAATATGAAAGGAAAAGTAAGTAATTTTAGAGATAAATTCTAATACTGCATCATAAAGATACAAATAAAAAAAAGTTTTCATTCCCAAATATTCTTTAAATTAGAGTTTAAATAATTTAATAATAAAACAAAAAATAACGCTGATTTCATTGGCGAATACTCCATTTCATATATTGTACAATACCTCTGCTTCTTAAGTAGGTACTCTTCTAAGAATGTCCCGTACTCTATCCTGTATTCTTGTAAGAATGTTCAAAAGTGATCATATAAACCGTTAATCTAACAGTTTTCACTCTTCTCTTAAAGCTGCAAAAAGGTTTTTAAGTTTCCCTAACTGGAAATCACGAAGATTGAGTCGTTTTTCATCTTCTTCTTTTTATATGGACATGACTCTGTCTGTTTTTCAATGTGCCTCCAGTAAGTTGTCATTAAATCGTTTTCGTGGTCTTCTTTCTGATCGTTTTCCTGTTGGGGAACTGTCTCTAGTCATCTTTACTACACTATTTGTTGTTATTCAGCCTGTATGATCGTTGCATTCTACTCTTCTATTTCTAACCCAGTTTTTGATGTTCTCCACCTAGCATCTATGTCGTATATCTGTACTTCTAGCTCTGTCATATACTGTCTTAACATCAATTTTTCATCTCTGCTGTTTCTAACATCCTTTTTGTCCTATCTGTGTTAGGTCTTAGTTCTGCCGCGTTTGTGATTATTGGTCTGATGACTGTTTTGTAAATTCTGCCTTTCGTTTCTTTCCCGATATTTTTATTTCTCCAAATTGTTTCATTTAGGCAGCCTGCGGCTCTGTTTGCTCGATTCAATTGATCTTCCACTTCGGTTTCGAGCTTTTCGTAGCTAGATAATGTGATGCCTAGATATTTAAACTCCATCACTTGTTATCTGACCTTCCAGCTCCAATTTACATCTTAGTAATTTGCTGTTGTAATCATGCATTTTGTCTTTTTTGGGGAGATTAACATGTTAAATTTTCGGGCGGTTATATTAAATTGGTGCATCATACGTTGTAAATCATCTTCACTTTGAGAGAGTAGCATTGCGTCGTCTGCATAGCAGATTATTTTAAGTTGTTTTTCTCCCATTTGGTATCTTTTTTTATTTCTTACTTTTTTTATTATTTCATCCATAATCAGGTGGAACAATAGGAAACTCCCTGCCTTATCCCATTGCTAGCTTTAATAGGGTCGGTTAGTTCTTCTTCTACTTTTACTGTTATTTTGTTGTTTTGGTAGATATTTTCGATTGTTTTGATTATTCCTAAAGGTATCTCTCTGGCATACAGTAAGTGGATAACGTCTTTTAACTTGACCTGGTCAAATGCCTTTGTAAGGTCCACGAAACATAGATATACCGGTTTGTTGTATTCTAATATTTACTCTTGCACTTGTCTCATTATAAATATAGCGTCGGTGCATGATCTTCCTGACCTAAAACCTTGTTGTTCTTCTGCTACTGTTATAATTTTATTCAGTTTATTTGTTATTTCTTTGGTTTTTAATTTTAGTGTTGTGTATAATAAATTAATTCCTCTGTAATCTTCCGTGTCCCATTTGTCTCCATTTTTGAAGATAGGTATTAGGATGCTTGATGTCCATTCTTAAAGAATTCTTTTTTGTTCTATTATTTTTTGGATTAGTTTTAATAGTTGTTTGGTCAGATCTGGTCCTCCGTACTTTAGGAGTTCGTTCGGTATTCTGTTCCCTCCTGGTGATTTTTTATTTTTTAATTTCTTTAATGCTTCGTTTACTTCTTCCTCCTCAATATTTATTTCTTCGTTTGTCATCACCTCTGGTATTGGTGGTTCATCATCGTCACCTTTTGCAAACAGGGATCGAAAGTAGTCTACACTTGTTCCCTTCTGAATGTATTTCGTTTTTATTCGTTCGTTCATCTCTTTTCTTTGTCCTCTGATTATTCTCCATATTTCTTCTTGTGTTGCGTAGAAATCGATTTCCATCTGTTTTGAGAAACTTTGCCAGTGTTCCTTATTTATTTGTCTAACTAAAGTATTCGTTTCATTTCTTATTCGTTTATAGTGGTTGTATGCCTGTTGTGTTTGTTGTGTTCTGTATTGTAAAAAGGCTTTTTTCTTTTCTTCACGTTTTGTCTTTACTTCCTCTCTAAACCATGGTGTTTTCTTTTTTGATATGTTATTGTTCGTTACTTTCCTATCATCAAGTGATTCTGTTGCGTCAAATATATTATTTTTGAGATTGAGTCGTTGTAGGATATAATCTCAGACTTGAACGATGGGAGTAAAGTCTGCCGAGCAACAAATCCGTTAAGAAACGAGTAATGCCGAGCTCTTTTTTTTTGGCTTTAGGTACAAGACCTATTTAGCCAGACAATGTAGGTATAAGAATATAGAATACATAAAAACAATCTCCTACACTTCAAATTCGTAACAATTTCCTAACCGTTCGTTCATCGCCGAGCTCTTCTTGAGCTTAATACTCTTAAATAATAATTAAATAAATGACTAACGTGTCTTTAAATATACGTACTAAAGCATTGTCTAATTGTTTTTATGCGTCTATTGTTTCTTCTGGTCTGATTTATCTTTCCAAAAATTTCCAAACATGCTCTATAGGATTCATATTCTTAGAACTTATAGGGCAATACTTGTTTTCAGAATTCAGTTTGAAGTTTAAAGATAAATAATAACAAAGAAAAAAAGAACAAATGTTCCTGGCACTAAGAACCCTTCTTTGAAAAATAAAACAGTTAAATGATGAATAAAAAATTACATGTGTAAATATTTTAATCTATTTTTTTCAAAACATAGTTTTTAATAATATCTTAAACTTTATATTTTTCATTCGATAGGTTGGTCAAATAACGGGACGAATAACTGAGGTTGATGAAAATCTCAACTATCTGCTCGGAAGACTTTCGTTGGTAACGCAAGAATTTAACGGAATCAAAACCGGTCTCAGCTCTGCATTAGAAAAAATCAAAGAAAGTTTCCATGCAGTACAGAAAAAAATTGATGAAGGACCAGGACCACACAATATTGACAGCAGTGAAGAAGTGCCTCCCACAGCTTAATTTTTTTAATAATTCTTATTTATTGCAATGTTTGTTCGAGCGAATATTTGTATTTTAGTATAGCTAGACTTAATTTTTTATTAAAGTGTGAGTACTTCAAAACCGTAAATAAAATTTAAAAAAATCGTTTAAAAAGTCTGTTCAACCTAAAATAAAAAAAGCAATATGCTAAACATACACCATCATTGTCATTGGTAGTAAAGTTCTAGTATTGATTATAAACCACCACCTAGATACCTCACTCTAAGGTAAAAACGAATTCAGTGTTAAACTCCGCCAACTTACACCTCTTTGCCCCTCACGCCTAAGTACTTACTGACTGTATGATGGCGACATTAATTGAAATATTTGCCAAGATTGAAAAATAAATTTGAGTTGCCTGGTTCGGCCATTGTCTAGTACAATAGACGATAATATAAGGATGGCATTCAGCATTTTCACAAATAATTTTAACGTGTTTGTAATCTATATTATGAAATTCCGATTCTACTTCAGAAAAAACGCTAAAAATTGATTAATGAAAACAGTAAAGGTTATCTAAAAAATATTTATTTATGAATACAATACAAAAAAAAATAAGAAAACATAAAATCGTAATAAAATTACCAGTGATCAATTACATCTCACGTAAATTACTTTTTTGTAACTTTTCAAACAAATTAATTTCCAGAATTGATGCAAACTAAAATATTTTAAGCTAATATACAGAATTTATTTCTAGATTTAGTCCATTCACTCACGGTAAAATATTGCAAAACCTTCTCATTTTAAAGAAACGCTTGGGTTGACATGAAATTTGGTTTACGCCTAGCTAAGATGTCAAAGAAAAAAAAATTATGCTTTTGCCCTATGGTTCAGTATCACCCCTTCTCGGAAGTGAAAAAATATATGTTCAAGTGTCACCTCGGGGTAAATGGAAAGGGTCTTGCCACCTTCTGTACCACCGTGTGCTCTGTAGAGGGGCTTCGAAAACATTGTGAGCTCCTCTACTTTTGTCCATTTTCAGGGTATGGACTTCAAAATGTTTTGTTTCCTGATGGCTCGTCTTAATAAAGACGAGAGATTTCTTACATGGCAAATATCTTACATGATAGTTGTCGAAATAAACATCAGGTTTGTTGTCTTCAATGTCTTGCCTTGAAAAAGGCAAGTTATTTCTTACATGACCAAATATATATAGGTCGAAATAAAACACCAAAAATACAGTAGAAATAATACTCAGCCACAGAGTATGGAAAGCTAAAAGGGAAGCAGAGCCCCGAGAGCACTAAGCTTTCGGAGAGCCCGTGAAGGACTGAACTGATTGACCTAAACTAACTAACTAACCTTGAGTTTTAACCTTGTTTAGGCTTACGCCTCTTCAAGGAACGGGGAACTCCTTTTTTTTTTTTGACGGAGTTGTGGTGGTTACGAGATAAGACGTCACTGATCGAAACGCGGCCTAAGAAGCAGAAAACTGCTAAGGAAGAAGGGGGAAAAGAAGGTGGCTTGTTTTGTGATCGATAAGAATCGTGAACGCACAAGAAGAATTGGGGTCGCCTAGCATGCTGTGAGGTACTTCAGGGTTACCAGCCATACAGTAGGAACGGCTCTTTATTAGCGTTTTTGGTGCGCAGCTTATCTGCGATAGTATATGGGGAAAGATTCTAAAATATCAAAATACTCATCAGGAAGTTCAGGTCCAGCGTTGTGCAGAAGTTTAGCTGGAGGGAATGGAACTTTTTTTGCGGGATGCCTGGTGAGTATTTGCCCTCTATGTGTGCAAGGTGTCTTTAGTATTTGTTTTGCTCGGTTGTTCGAGCCAGCTATGGTTCTTAGGACATACTTCCTACTGAGGGTTAGGATTCTGTCCTTAATTGGCGTGATGTTGGATATTGCGTGTATGTGGGCTGATGGATACAGCCAGTCCTTTCTCATGCAGAAACGTAGTATTCTACGTTCTGTGGCAGTGATGGCATTAAGTTCGTGGTTCCTCAGGGAGAGGTAAACGCATGCCTTGTATTCGATAATCGGTCGGATAAAAGTCTTGTAGGTGTGCAACAAGGTTCTAGTGGACGTTCCTCCTAGTTTACCGGCCAACACTTTCAGGAGATTGAGCCTTTTTCTCATCCTGTCAAGGGATTCCTGGACGTCAGCCTTCCAGCTGAGAGTTCTCGTAAAACGAACTCCCAGGTAGAGAACTGAGTTCCTGAGAACAAGGTCTTCTCCCAAAAGTGTCACCCGGCCCTGAAGGCCGCGTCCGTAAGGAGGTCTGAATAATATAGCTTGAGTTTTGGATGGGTTTAGTGTAACCCTCCATTTGTTGCACCACCTCACGACTCTGTCAAGATAATCCTGCGATTTCTCGAATACAGACCGTCGCTCTCCTTCCCTGTAGGAGCCTGAGGTAAGGATGGCTGTATCATCAGCAAATAGGAGGAGAGTCTCCGATCCTTGCTGTGGGCGGGGGATGTCGCTATTGTAAACTGTGTATAATATTGGAGCAAGTATTGAGCCTTGGGGCACTCCTGCTTGAGGAGTGAATGGAGTGGAGAAGTGATCTCCTATTTTGATCCAAACCGTCCGATGGGAGAGATAGGAATTTATTAGTTTAACGAAAGGTGTTGGCAGTCCAGCAAGGTGGAGTTTCTCAATCAGGCCTGCATGCCAGACCTGATCGAAAGCCTTCTGGACATCGAGGAAAATGCCTACGACGTGTTTCCTTTCGTTAATGGATTGTGAAATGAAGGTTGTTGCTTCAACCAATGCATTTTGAGTGGAGTGTCCAGCCCTGAATCCGAATTGGTAGTTTGGTATAAGGAAGTGAGCGTCTAGGAATTCTACGAGTCTCTCCTTGAGGATCCTCTCGTAGACTTTACCTAGGGTGCTCAATAAAGAAATTGGTCTATACGATTCAGGGTTGGTTAGGGTTTTCCCTTTTTTAGGGACCATGACGGTGCTGGCCACTTTCCACGGAATAGGAAAGTAGCTCAGCGCAAGAGATGCATTGATTATATTGGTGAGCAACGGGATGATATTCTGTGGAAGATTTTTGAGGCATCTTCTATGGATGCCATCTGGGCCAGGAGACGTGTTTTTTCCTATTTTACACATCTCGCTGACGGTTTCCTCAGTCACTGGTGCCATCATCGGGTGAGGATGTGGTCCATCAAGTGGCTGAGGGTAATAGAATATATCTTCCACTCTCCGTTCGGTGGCTCTTTTGGATCTTTCGCAGAAATTTGGGTTATTGGGTGAAACGAGGGTGGCCTGAAGTGTGTTTTTGAATGCTTCGGCCTTGTCTTGCGGATTATTTAAGATGACATTATTGATTTTGAGATGAGATCGTGGCTGACTTTTTTGTCTTGTTAGGACTTTGAGTTTATTCCAGAATGCAGAACCGTCCCGGTAGTCAAGGTCCGAGGTGACTCGCATCCACTGTCTTTGTTTCAGCTTGTTCACCTCGAGTCTTATGACCGCCGAGAGCCTATTGTATTCTGTTTTGATGATTGGGTCTCTGAATCTTTTATACTCTCTGAGAAGTCTTCGTTTGGTTTTTATTTGCGCGATGATTTGCGGCGGAAGTGTTGGAGTATAAGGATTATATCTTGTTTTGGGAATTGCTAGGGATGAGGCTTCTTGAAGAAGTTCCTCAACTTTGGAAATCCCTGTGTCAACTTGGTTATGTGTTGACATATTGCCTAACTCAGGAATATTTTGGTTGATGTGTTCTTGGAAAAGATCCCAATTTGCTCTACGATAATTTATCCTATAGATTGCAGGTCTTGGTTGAGGTAAGGAGTTAAAGTCAGTGTTGACTAGAAGAGGGAGATGGTCAGAGGTTATGGAATCACCAATGAAGCATTCATCGTCCATCCTATCAAGCAGGTTAACCGTGCATAAGATATGATCGACTATGGACATTCCTTGGTGGTTGAAGAACGTGACCTCTCGGTTGGTGATTCTGGAAATTGGCAGCTCAAGAAGAAGGTCTGAGAGCTGTCTGCCCGGAATATTCGAGGTTGTATCACCAAATTGAGTATGCCTGCTGTTTAGGTCGCCCATTAAAACCGCCTTGTCTAGTGTGGAAAAATACTCGACAAGGGGTATGGAGAGGGGTGTGTTTGGATGCTTGTAATAGGATATTATCGTGATCTTAGTGTTGTCTTGTAGGTGTATGTCAACTGCCAGGAAGTCGGTGTCATGGAGCTGGCCTAATATGTGAGGAGGAGGAGTATGAGGTGTGGAGGGTATTGTGTGGTGAATCAATAGGCCGTTGCCATGACTGGCCTGGCTTTTATTCAGGTGGTGTGAGGTGTATCCTGTGAAATTAGGGGGGGTTTTAAGTCGGGTGTCGGTGAGAGAGAGAATTTGTATGTTTTGGGTAAAGAGTAGATGTTTTATTAGTGCTCTCTTTCGACCGACTCCCGAACAGTTGACCGTACCTATTACACAGTTGAATGTAACGACTTATTGGAGGGGGACGAAGGTCATTTCGACCTTATTGTTTCTCGCTGTGGGCACTATGGAGTGCCCGAACATCTTACCCGACAGGTCGGACGAGTACTTCGCAATAGTCTCTCTCCTATCTGGCAGGACGTTCATTAGCAACGTGGTTGTGAACTGAATCCACAACCTAACGTCTGCTGTTAATGTAGCCGGAGGAATCCTTCTCTCAGTAGTCAGAGGTTTTGCCTCTTGGTGGGAGGAAGGTGTCTCCTGCCTTTTGGGGCATCGGGGTGACCAAGCTGGATGAGTTCCCTTGCAGTTTGGACACTTAGGGTTTTTCAAGTTGGGACAGTCGGCGCTTTTGTGCTCGCCGCTACCGCAATTAGGGCAAGTTGACTGTCGCGTCCGACACTCGGAGATTTCGTGGCCGCTTTGGCAGCATCTGCTGCAGTATTTGGCGGTGGGCTTAATAATGTTAGGATTGTGAGGAGCCTCACATGGCCTAATCAAGCCATCTATACAGATGCCGTTGATTAAGGCGTCCGTGTAGTACTCCTCAGAATCGAGGAACATTCGGACCATTCTGATAGGCTTGTTGAACCGTTTTGAAATTATTCGGTGAAGGGAGTTGAATGGAAAGTCGATTTCAACAAGACTTAGTCCGAGCTCCTCGGTGGTGATTGCAGTGTCAACATCGCAGATGACAAGATGGTAGGGAGATTTCGTGTCTGTTTGTGGCTTTTTGGCGGAACGTTGTCGTGAGTTTTTAGGCTCAATGACTATGGCCGGGTCACCAGTTCTGTCCTGGAGCGCTCTTGACATATCTTTAACGTTCAAAGTT